CACCGTTTATTTTCCAAACATTTCCAAATATTTTCTTTTGTAAGACGGAAACTTAAAATAGTTTGAAGGGTGTTGGTAACCAAACCATTTTGATGACTGTTGACTTGACCATTGGTGAAAAAAAAAAACACTGAGACATTTCTCAAAATATCTTCTATTATGTTCCACAGAAGAAAGTAAATTAGACAGGTTTGATACAACATGAGCGCGAGTAAATAATAGAAAGTGTTTGGGTGAACTGTCATTTTAAAACTTGTTTATCAGCTGAAGCTGAAACAATATTGAAAACATAGACAGGTACATGGAAGAATATTAGGGTTGCAAAGTGAATTTCACATTTCAGTTTTCCCTGAATGATTATTAGAGATATTGTATTAATACTAGTTTAGCGTTGCCGGCGGCAGACTGAGATGCAAGCCTGTAAGTAAAATGAGTTGTACAATTTCCTTGTTTAACTCTAATTTTGTCTAAATATTCGGTTTTAGACAGCTCGTTAAAACTGAATTAACAAACTAAAGGTATCCAGCCAATTGCAGTCACTGATTTGCACTTTTTCTTTTTCAAAATAATCTAATAACTATTTGACTATTATTTCCTAATTACCAGTTGTGTATGTATATGAAATCAAGTGCCTCTGGTCAGGGAAATTTCACTTCAAATTGCCTTTTGTTGTACTTGATTATTTGTTATTAAAGTACCATAAAAATTATTCTGGACTTGAAGGTCCAGAATAGCTAATCACATGTTGATCATGCAGGAAATAAAAAATATCACTCATGCTCTACAACCTAATGCTAAGAGAAAATTCTCACTTTCCACAGAGAAAATGCTCTGTGAATCTAATTGTGTATCAGATAGATGATGTCTGTATGCACTAATCTAACCAGCATGCCTAATTAATTTCTTGACTATCTGTCTTAAACTGCAAAACTTACTTGGTTGAAAGTGTTTGATCATCTGGTCCAAAGGGGATGGAGGCCAGAGGCTGTGATTGGGCTCATCATAAGCTTAGATGGAACTGTTATTTAGATTCCGTAACATTTAAATCTGATTATTTAGTCAATTCATGCACATACACTAACAATTGGGGTCGGTAAGATTTTTAAAATCTTTTCTAAAGAAGTTTCTTATGCTCACCAAAGCTACATTTAATAAAAAATACAGTAAAAACAGTAATATTGTGAAAACTTACAACTTAAAACTTATAACTTATTCTACTGTAAAATATTTTTCATGTATTTTATTTTTGTCATGGTGAAACTGAAATTTCAGTATCATTACTCTAGTCTTCAGTGTCACATGATCCATACTAGAAATCATTCTAATATGCTGATTTGCTGCATAATAAACATGTCTTATTATTATTAAAGGGGACATATCATGAAAATCTGACTTTTCCAGGTTTTAAGTGCTATAATCAGGTCCCCGGTGCATCTACCAACCAAGGAAACGTAAAAAAGATTTTTAAAATTTATTTATTTATTTATTTAGTTGACAGGGATATTGTACATTAATAAAACATTCCTGTAAATGTACCAGAATTAGCCAAGGCTATTTTACATCCGTAGTCCCTGGACAAGATGTTACAAGTCACCCTAAAATAAAATGTAATTAAAAATACATACTAAAAAATTTTATAATTACATAGTTCAAATCATACAGTATTCTATTAAAAAACAATGGGATCAAATAAAGACAATGCAAACAAGATACAATCAATAATAGGATAGCTAGCAAATATAAAATTCTAGTGTTGACAAATCTGAGTATGAATTAACCAATTCTTCAACTGAACCCTAAATAAAGCATATGTGTCTAGATCTCGTATAGTTGTCGGAATAGTATTCCATTCTCGTGCAGCTTTAACAGAAAAAGCAGACTGACTAAAATTACTTCGTCTAAGCGGTATGATACAATCTCCTCTTAATGCACCTCTTGTAGAACGATAATCAGTTGTTCTAATACTAACTAACTGACTAAGAGGAGGAGAAGATAAACCATAAATAATTTTATACATCAAGCATACATTTGCATACTTAATCATATTTTCCCAACTTAACAAATTATATTTTTTCAGTATTAGACAATGATGATAATGCACCGATTTCTTATCAAAGACTTTAAGTGTACGTTTGTATAAGGACTCTAATGGTTTTAGAGTCACTGAACTCGCCTGAGACCAGGTGGTTAAACAGTAAGTCATGTGAGAAATAACCATAGAATACATATACATCTTAGCTGCCTCCAATGACATATAATCTCTAATAAATTTAAAATTGTAGAGATTAAACTTAACCTGCTTACAAACCTTTTTATGATCTTCCTGGCTGTTTACGAGCGCTTCAATTCGATTTAGCTGGTTACTGTGAAGTTTGTTCTGTAGTGAGAAGCGAACCATTAAAATAAGAGGACTGAATTAAGTCACATTTAGCAACCCCATGTCAGGACATAGTTTAGCATTGATTGTAGTACCAACTGTGTAAGTGACTTCAGTTTGTCAGAATCTGATTTAGGAGCCATGTCTTACGTACCCCTAGACATTTCTAGACATCTTTGTAATGTTTCCCAATCAGAGATAAGAATAATTTTGAAATCTCAGGATGTTTCATCATGATGCAATGACAGTGACAAATTCTCCAGTTGGTAACTGAAATATGTATGCATGTATGCAAATAAACAAAACATGATTAACATAATTACCAAAAAGTTAAAAAGGGGGTTATAGGCCTACCTCAAAAAGTCGGAAAAGAAGACCAATACTGAAATACTGAAATGCAGGCTAAATCAAATGCAATTATTATAATAAATGATTATGATGAAAAGAAAAAAGTTTTAAATAACTGTATAGTAAACTAAATATTATATGAGCAATATCACTCGAGTACGAGAGCGATACCGACTCTATATCAGCATGGCTGTGATTAGGCCAGAGGCACGAGGCCGCAGGCCGAGTGCCGGAGTCAATCACAGCCGCTGATATAGAGCCGGTATCGCTCTCGTACTCCAGTGATATTGCGTTTATACAACAGTTCGACGGAACATGTGTGTAATTAAACAAGAAACAACGGAGTGCCTAATAAAACCCTCTTTTGTGCGGAACTACTTTCTTCCGCCACGGATTCAAAGCTCAAGTTGACAGTTAAACATGCGTCACTTTTAGAATTCGTATCAAGGGCATGTGCTGCTTCAGTTAGGTTATTACTGAGAATTAATGAGGTTATAAGAGAGAAACAATGCGGCAAGACGTGCATCCAAATGAGAGAGAGAGAGACCGCGAAGCTAGACGTTTCTTCTTATATTAACTAACGTACTCTACGATTAGCTCAGTGAATAATAAAAAAAAAAAAACATAGACCCGGCTAGAACAAGCGGAGTGATACAAAATTGTGAAAGGGCGTTCCTGTAGCGATACCAGTACAATATCTCACGGTTCTCAACCAATCAGATTTGAGAACCAGAACGAACTGTTGTATAATACATATTATTTAATATTAAATAACATGGATCAGCAAGTGAGGCCCCATTTTTCCTAGTTAATCATTGTGAATAATGAATCCCAGCATATAGCCTACGCACGCTGGAAAAATTGGTGTAAGATTTACTTTTACGATGAAACCATTTTCACTAATAAAGTACATTTCAATAATAATTATGGAAATGGCAAGTAACATTGATTTCAATATAAAAGTTCATAAACGTTAGTAAATGAATAGGAAACTAATTAACACATTTCACATTTGAGACTTATTATAGAGTCCATGTTATTCCAGCATAACGATCAATCACAAAGTTGGTTATTCGGTAGAAATTCTTAAATATTTTTTATTAGTTTTTTCATAATTTTTTCTTTTTTTTTTTTTACAATAATGTTTTAAACTTTTTAAAAACCTAAACATTTATGTATTTTCAGATTTAAGTTAGACTTTGCATAGGATTTCCACTGTGACCCACACTCTAAAAAATGCTGGGTTAAATACAACCTAGCGTCGGGTAAAATATGGACAATTGGGTTGTTTTGACCCAGCATTTGGGTTACTACCCAGAAGGTTGGGTTAAACATTTAACCCAACCGCTGGGTTTGTCCATATTTTACCCAGGGCTGGGTTGTATTTAACCCAGCATTTTTTAGATTGCAGTTAAAAACATAGGCGCCTATTTAGCCTATTTCTGCCGTTGTTTCTGCCCACCATTACTTTGAAGCAAAAACTCCATGTGATCGTCTAAACTGGAGCTACTGATAATGAAAACTGACCAAACACATAAATTTTATCTGTATATTGTTTTTATCTAATGTTGAAAACATCACGGAATCACGGAAGTAGGCCTATGAAATGAAGGTCAGTATCATAAATAAGTCTGATTGGATGCTTGCATTTTTTCGAATTACTGGCTGTTAAAGTTAAAAAGTTTAATGTTAACAAAAGTTTAAAATCTCAAAGACTGAATGCGGCAATTTCTTTTCTTTTATTTCGGAAAGATAAAGACAACAAATAGGCCTACAGCAGAAAGATTGTGAGCCGTCATCCTCTCCATCACGCAGCACGACTGAAGCGAAACGGATTGCGCGATTCACAGCGCTGCTGCCTTGATCGGCGTCGTGTCCTCAGCGGCGCGCACCAATGGTTTGTTCAAGCAGCGCCACTAGCGCGGTTTAATTCCCACACTTTAATGGTATTTATAGCTTCTGAGGAAGGATTATCTCAACATGCAGATCTGTATGCAAGTGAGAGAGAGACGTTTCTTGGTTTATTGGAGAGACTCAAATTTTATCTAGGCTACTCTTTCGTTGTTCACGTCCCAGTGATTATCCCCGTGGCGCGTGCCAATGCAAGAGTGTCATAGGTTGTTATATATTTATATAATATCATATATACAGTAAATATAAATGATATATTAAATGCACTTAATATTATAGCGTATTTAAGTGTCAAATTTTTACTTAAAACCAGTTCCAGGAGTAATCGACCAGAACTACGCGTTCATTTATCTTCTGTCCCTCATACTGCAGTGCATAAAGATGTAAACCAGCAGATATTATCAGCTGCGGGTCTTAACCTCTGTCTGCAACTTCATCAGTCTGTGGCGGCTCTCTTTGAGCGCGGCTTGAGTGAGTATTTCCTTCAGTCTTGTGCTTAACAGCTCCACCTGCAGTTCATTCTGTGCGCTGCTGACCTTCTGCTGACCTCCACAATGCACCTGCTGCCTCTGGGAGAGAGACGGTGAGGTTTTGATAACCCTTACTTACGGTATGTAGAACACTTTATATCTTCTTTTCTCTAACCCCATCTAAAGTTACCTGCCATTTCTCCTCGAGGTCTTTAATGTGTTGTTTTTGCACTTTGAGTTCAGTACCGGTAAGTGCCTCTGCTTCCTGCAATCTACAGCTGATCAGCTCTGTCTGCAGATACATCACACTGTCCTCATTAGGAACAGCGCTGCTCTACAACAGAGACACACACACATTTTTGATTACTGAAGTAATCCCAAACTTGTCTAAACATCAGCATGAATATTTATTATGAATAAACTGCTGCAAGGATGACCTATTTTTGTAGGCCAAAACCTGGAAAAGGGTTAGCATTTTAGTACTTCCGGTTCCATCGTCCTGAAGTCAATCATGGATTTGAAAACTATTCTAACCCAACCTCTCAGGGATTTTTTTTTTTTTTAAATAAAGGCCGAAAAAGTTTAGTGATGGTGACATTTAGCTTTTTACTTCTGCCGATTTTATTTAGGTTTCAAAATCCATTATAGGTGTGTTCATTTGTGAAGACTATCATGATTAAAAAAATGTGTAATAATCATAAACTTGAATTGGTCACAAAGCTTATTTTCTGCAGTAATCCAAAAGCCAATGGAAAAGTCCTACTGACTTTTTTTGTTGCGGAAACCAGGGTAATGCTAACTTTTGCGATGATCTACAAAATTAGGTCATCACTGCAGCACTCTAAGACTGTGCTTAATGCTTCATATTAATGTATTTAAAACAAGTTTGCATGGAAGATTTGACTTCATGTTGACCTTTTCTATCTGCAAGATGTTTGCCTGCAACTCTTTTAAAGCGCTTTGTGACCTGGCTGTGTTTAGCTGAGTTTTCTCCAGCTCTTTCTTCAGCTGTGACACCAGTTTTTCTGAGCACCGCTGGTAGGCCGGCACATGTGGGAGTAAGAGCATGAACATATCTTTAGAAAAAATGTATTAACATGAACATAAAGGCACTGCAATACACTTACCTTCTCCAGTAAGGCAAGCCTCTGCTTTAAATGTTTATTCTCTGAGGAAAGTCCCTTAAGATAAGGCAAGAGACCAAACTAAGCATTTGCAGTGGCTGAAAATGGCTTGGGTATTGATTCATAACCTTCAAGACCGATTTTTCTGTACTGTTGAGAAATATTATATGAAGAGAAACAAACAAGCACTGCTGCTCCTCCAGCTTTTTTGTCTTGATAGATGCATATTCTTGTCTCAATCTAAAACAAATACAACAAATCATTTTGTTTCTATAGACAATTGGATATGCAAACATGGAAACAAGAAAAAAATGGAAGGAAAAGCACATACTGTTTCATTCTGCTGGGGTTGTATTTTATTTGATATGCTGCTTCACTCATTCCATCAGGATCTGAATCCCATGACTCTAGATTCTCCAAGCACTGAAAACAACAGAATCACTCAAAGTGGCAGTATTTCAAAGACATACAAAAACATTTAAAAATCCTTAAAGCTAGCAAGTGGAAAAAAACTAAACAAAAATTTAGTTTCATTGAGGTGCTCCATTACGTTCATCATTCCCTCTACATCAAGCTTAATGAGTTCTGTCTGCTTCATTTGAAGTATAGCCAAACCAGCCCGGAAAACACGATCTCCAAACCCTACAAATACATGAATATAATCACTGATATTGTCAATCAAACTATAATATTTAGATACTGGCGGCTGTGTTGTTATTATTATTAACCTATTAAAAGGTTTTCTGTAATTGAAAATAAAATTAAATAAAATATTAGATGAAAAATTTAAATTTAAAAAAAGAAAACTTAAATCTAAACTCTGCAACTAACTGATAGAAATAAATAAGATTAAATACTAAAATTACTGTTACAGACTGTAACTTAAAATTCACGTTAAACTAAATCTGAAATAAAATAAAGTTAAATACAAATATAGAAAATACGAAACAAAACTACTAAAACTGAAAATATAAAAATAAAAGCTAATTCAAAACATGGATAAACGCTATAATAGAATATATATAATACTAAAACATCACTGGCTAGTTATTTCTTATCTTATCTTATATTTATTATCTATACATTTTACATAGAAATTACATGACATGAAGTGATGGGTTATGATGAGATGCAGTGATGCGATTAATTGTGCCTCACACATGAAGATATCAAAAATCCTAATGGCAGCTCTGATCGGCAAAGATGAGAGGAGGATGTTGGGAAACCAAGAGGAGGAGAACATAGAGGTGTGGAAACCATGAGTCTGGAAGTGGGAATGAAGCTCAGGAAGTTGATCCTATGAGAAAGAGAAAAATATTATCAGACAACAGATCTCTAGGTGAGAGTGGGGTAAGATGTGTCGCCCCCTTTAGCTACAAAACTGTGTACCGTTTTTGTCATGTGACAATGTCTTTGTAAGCATTTTTAATTAACAACATTTTATGTCCAAGGACATTTTTAAATAATAATAATAATAATAATTTTAAATAATATATTATATACAATGCAATTCAAAAGGATCAGTTCAAAAGGTCAGTGGGTCAGTCATTTTTTATGATCATTTTTTAAAAAGAATTTAATAGTTAAATACTGTTCCCTTTCGAACTGTCTCTCCCGTTGTGTATACATGCTTATGGTGGGCTCAGGCCCATTCTCGATCTCAGGCATCTAAACTGTATGAAAACGCTTATGAAATGGCTGTTCAAGATGCTAACTTTGAAACAAATCCTCATGCATATTTGCCCTTAGGACTGGTTTTTATCAGTGGATATGAAAGATGCTTACTTTCACATCCAGATAGCCCCTCATCACAGACCATTCTTGAGATTCGCATTCGAGGGGGTGGCTTATCAATATACAGTCCTTCCATTCGGACTGTCCCTGGCCCCACACACTTTCACAAAGTGCGTGGACGTGGCTCTTTCCCCTCTGAGGCAGATCTGTATCATGAATTACCTCGACGACTGGCTTTTGCTCACCAGGTCAGAACAGGAACTTATCGCTCACAGGTCACTGCTACTTAGCCATCTGGAGCGGCTTGGGCTAAAAATCAATTTAGCCAAAAGCTCTCTGTCTCCCAGCCAGCAAATCATGGGGGACAGTGATCGATTCGCCAGAACGCTCTCTGATGGTTCAGCGGCTAGCGGCGTCATTCAAATGAGGGACTTTGCATCCCCTCAGAGTTTTTTAGAGGATGCTCGGTCTTATGTCGCCCGCCTCCTCTGTGATTCCTCTGGGCCTGCTCTGCATGTGTCCCCTTCAATTTTGGCTCAAAGCCCATGTACTGTCCCACGCTTGGTGCCTGGGGCATCTTCGTCTCAGGGTAACCCACTGCTGCATCAAAGCTGTGAACCCTTGGAGCAATTCTCGCTTGTTTCAGTCAGGCGTCGCTGGGGCTGACCTCCAGGAGGAAGGTAGTCAAGACAGATGCCGCCAACACAGGTTGGGAAGCACTGTACAAGGGCAGACCGGCGTTTGGCTCCTGGTTACACCTGGAGCAATGCTTGCACATCAGCTGCCTTGAAATGATGGCGGTTTCTCTGGCCCTGAAAGCCTTCCTACCAGCCTGGTCCGCTCGGACCACTTGACGGTCTTAGCCTTCATAAATCAACACGGCGGTCTCAGGTCACACTCCTTTTACAGGATGGCGTGATGCCTCCTTTTATGGGCACATCGCTATCTCCTCTCGCTAAGAGCAGTTCATGTGCCGGACAGACTGAACCAAGGAGCGGACATGCTGTCCAGGGGCAAAGTAGCACCAAGAGAATGGAGACTACATCCCCAATCGGTTCAAATGATCTGGTCTGTGCTTCATGCCTTGAGTTTGGGCCTAACAACTGTAAAGTCATCCTCAAACCAAGACACGGCTATGTGCCTAAGGTGCTCTCAACCCTGTTCAGAGCACAGGTTATTACCCTTCTAGCTCTTCCTAGTACAGAAGACAAGCAGGGTCCCTATCCACTCTGCCCAGTTAGGGCTCTTAGAGTGTACGTTGAGCACTCTGGCCCATTTCGGGAATCGGAGGCCGTTTTAAAGGGCTGCAATGTTACGAAGCAATGACTATCTCGTTGGACAGTCGATGCTATAGCCCTGGCTTATGCCACAGAGGGCTTGAAATGCCCTATTGGGGTGAGGGCCCACTCCACTCGAGGGATGGCCTCCTCCTGGGCGTTGTCCAGTGGGATATCTATTGATGACATCTGTGCGGCTGCCAGCTGGTCGTTGCTGTCAACCTTTACAAGGTTTTATAATTTAGATGTCCCTGCCCTTCAGGCATGATCTTGTCTGCTTAAATTAACCTAATCTAATGAGTGGAAAAGATTTTGCTATGTAGCAGGCTAGCTTGGGGCTCATTCTTTGCTCATGCTTCTTAGGGGCCCTCGTTTCGGGCGCTCCCACCTAATCTAATGAGTGGAAAAGATTTTGCTATGTAGTCCCCAGCAGGCTAGCTTGGGGCTCATTCTTTGCTCATGCTTCTTAGGGGCCCTCGTTTCGGGCGCTCCAGGGCTGGGCATGCAGAGTGACTTAGTTCTGCATTTACTTATAGCACGGCACTATTGGATGCGTTCCCCATAAGCGTGTATACGCAACAGGAGAGACCATTCAAAAGGGAATGCTCCGGTTACTAATGTAGCCTTGGTTCCCTGAGATAAAGGAACAAGCGTTGCGTAAGCTGGCATGCTATAAGTCTGCACACGAGTTGATGGCTGTCGCTGACAGTCGAAAGATTCTCAAGGATAGCGCTCTGAGCCGACTTATATAGTAGTTGGCTCCTCCCCTTTTGGCGGGTTGAAGCGCCATTTGGTTGTGCAGGTACAAGAACATGAACAAATCAGGCTTCAGTATCAGAGTAAACAGGAGTTTCCCACATAAAGCGTGTATACGCAACGCTCGTACCCTCATCTCAGGGAACCGAGGTTACGTTAGTAACTGGAGCATTCTTTAAATTTTCTGTTCATCAAAGAATCATGAAAAAATTGTTATCACATTTTCAAGGAAAATATTAAGCAGCACAAATGTTTTCAACATTGATAATAATACAAAATGTTTTTTAGTACTAAATCAAAATATTAGAATGATCCTTCAGAAGGATTATGTGACATTGAAGACTGGAGTAATGACATGTAATGAAAATATAAATATATGAATTAGAAATCATTTAGACAAGTTTTTTCTAATTTCTCATTGCGTAGAGGACAACATAGTAGGTAAATAAAAGTGACATAGCTTTATCCCACTATCCCCTATTTACAAAACACCAAATCTGGACATCTACAACAAAGTTCTTGTCAAATGTGGAATTCTCAGAAATCAGACATTTAGCAGGAAATGGAAAGATACTTCAGCAGATCATTTGTAACAGGCTTTATGTGGCTTACTCAGCTCAGGGTTTTTGGAAAGGACATTTTATAAATAATCCATGTGCTTTTAAATAGAGTAGAATTATAATTGTTTACCTTAATCATAGCGTCAAACTGGTAAATGCAGCAGCTGAGTTAAATCATATTAGATCTATACAGATCTAATATGTTGCGTATATGCGTATATTCTGAAGTCCTTCATTAGCCTCACAAAAATGTAGAAGGCCTCCTCTTCAGCCATCTAAAAGGTGATCATCTCAATTCATTGACTAGTACTAGCTACTATAATTTGTAACTATATAATTTCAATTAAAAAAGCAATTAATTACCTGTGTGAGCAATAGACCTACATTAAACACACTTCCCTGGCAGTAGCCAATCAAGATTGAGTAAGCCTGCAATTAAAGCCGCATTGTGTTATCTATACTCCTAAAATGCATAATTCGTATTTTTTTTTCTGTATGATCACAGATAGAGATTCTCTGTCATCTAACCTTCAGCACATTAAACAGTGGTTTCTGGCACGTAGCGACCTTGTTGTGAAAGAGCTGGTGTTGAGGGAGGATACGTGTCAGGTCTCTGAGTATCAGCTTCTCAGAGGGAGACGAGCTCTTCAGTAGATCTGAGTACTTCTGCCGCACA